CCGTGGGGGAAGGGGAGGGGGGGGTGGGGCCCCCCCCCCAAAAAAAAGGGGGTTCGGTGGTGGTTGGGGTGGTGGTTTTATTTTTTTTATTTTTTTTTTTATTTTATTTTTTTTATTTTTTTAAATTGTTTTAAATTTTTATTTTTTTAAATTTTTATATTTTTTTTAAATGTTTTGTATTTTTTAAATTTTTTAATTTTTTTTTGTTTTAAATCAGTGTCACTCACTGCTTTACCCATCCCAGCAAACAGCCCTCGGTGCCACCCCGGTCAGCAGTGCCTTGTCCCCATCAGTGTCCCCCCCCACCAAGCCTCACTCAGGTCCCCCCACGATGGGGCGATGGAGGATGCTGGGGATGGTGGACACGAGTTAAAATCCATGGATGCTTTTTCCAACCAAGTGAAGCCCAGAAAAAGCTCCCCCCCCACACCCTCCCCACCTCCACAAAGGGGATTCAGGGCTGCTCGCCCCATCTCTAACCAAGCCCCTGGGGCACGTGGTGGGGCTGGGGGTGCCCCTGCCCATGGTGGGGTTCACATGAGGGTGTCTGGCTCCACCAGCCCTCCTCTTCAACCCCCCCGAAGCACCTCCGTGTCCCCCCCCTCTCCTCCAGAGCCACGTGCAGCACCTCGCCGGCAATTAGGGCTCCTTCCCCAGAGGAGCGTGATCCACCCCGGGAGGAGATAACGCCCTGCTGAGTCGGGAAAAGGCATTTTCCAAAGGATCAGCCACATGGGAGACCGCTGCCAGCTCCCACCTCTGCCCAGGGAGGGGGGGACAGACCCCTAGAGACCAATCAAGTACAAAAGCCCCCCCAGAAGAGAGGTTGGGAGGGGGGCAAACGGGCAACCCGATGTACCCAATGCTCTAAAAAACCCCCTTGCAAAAATGTGAGGGGTGGGAATCACCCGCAGCTCCCACCCCTCCTCGAGGGAGCAGTGAAGTTTTACGTGGTCGGGGTGTGGGGGGGTCTGCAGCCCCCAGCCCCAGCGAAGGACTCACCACCAGCCCCAGCTTCAAAAACCTCAGGCTGATCCCCCAGTATCTCAGCTGCTTTTGGGCTGATTCATCCTCCCCTACCCCCAGAGGGCTCCGTGGGGAGACCCCTCCCCGACCCCCCCAGGTGGGGTGGGCAGCTCGGATGGGGTGTGTGATACTTCAGCCTCAGCTCGAGCTCTTCCATCAGCCCCTGCCAAAGGGGGCTGAGCCACTGCCAAATTTTGGGTTGCAACGGGCTGAGAGGAGGCTGCAAAAACCTTCTGCTCCACCGGTTTCACGAAAATCAGCGGGGGGGGTGAGGGGAAGAACCCCAGGTCCCTGCACAGGGGCTGCAGCATCCCCCCGTGGAGCACCCCTGGGTGCCCCGAGTGATGAAGAGGAGCCCCTCAAAGTGTGTCACCCCCTGAGAGGGGGGACACCCAGTTCAGCCCCCCAGGCTGGCACGCTGGCTCCTGTCCCATCAGTCGAACTGGCCGTGCTGGAGGACTGGGCACCCCAGTGGCTCCGTGATGGCAGGCAGGAGGTGGAGGATGCTCGTGGCCATTCCTGGCAGCACTGGAAGGAGGTGACAGCCCACCCGGCCACCCCGTCCTCACCCATCCTCCCCAGGCTGTGGGGACGCTGCCAGCCCTTGAGTGGGGGGAGAACAACTCTTACTTTTCTAGAACTTTGGGAACTACTTACACTGCCACCCAGACTTCGGGGCTTTCCTGGCCACTCTATCCTCAAAACCACCTTTTTTTTCATTTTTTCCCAGCACTGGGCTCAAAAAAAAAAAAAAAAAACACGAAAATCAGCGGGGGGGGTGAGGGGAAGAACCCCAGGTCCCTGCACAGGGGCTGCAGCATCCCCCCGTGGAGCACCCCTGGGTGCCCCGAGTGATGAAGAGGAGCCCCTCAAAGTGTGTCACCCCCTGAGAGGGGGGACACCCAGTTCAGCCCCCCAGGCTGGCACGCTGGCTCCTGTCCCATCAGTCGAACTGGCCGTGCTGGAGGACTGGGCACCCCAGTGGCTCCGTGATGGCAGGCAGGAGGTGGAGGATGCTCGTGGCCATTCCTGGCAGCACTGGAAGGAGGTGACAGCCCACCCCGTCCTCACCCATCCTCCCCAGTCTGTGGGGACACTGACAGCCATTGAGTGGGGGGAGAACAACTCTTACTTTTCTAGAACTTTGGGAACTACTTACACTGCCACCCAGACTTTGGGGCTTTCCTGGCCACTCTATCCTCAAAACCACCTTTTTTTTCATTTTTTCCCAGCGAAAAAAAAAAAAAAAAAATCCCAAAGGTCTGGAGGTTTTTTGTTTTTTTTTTACCAAATTTTTCTGCCTCCCAGGTCCCACAGGCGCTGCCCATCGCTCCTTCCCCAGCCCCTGGTACAGGAGGGTGCAGAGCCCCAGAAGGCTGGGGACTTGCCTGGAGGCCACAGCTGAGTTTTAGGGAGCTCCTGGCTCCTTGCCCCTGACGGCAGAGGGGTGCAGCCCTCCTCGCCACCCCCCCTCACCCCTCCCCGTGCCCCACGCAGCACCGACGTGCCCAGGCACGAGCCGCAGGGAGCAGCTCCCTTCCGCCGGCAGAGCAGCAGCCAGACGCCGGAGTACAGTAAATAGGAGAAACTTTTATTTCTTACAAAAAGTAAAAGGCATAAATAGATGGGGAATTGGGGGCGGGGTGGGTGAGATCTGGCTGTGCAGCTCCCCCCCTCCCCCCAGCCTGACCACGGTGGCTGGTCAAGGTCCTGTGGGGCTTCAAGCCCTTTTCCTAAAACTAGAGCCACGCTAAGATGAGGTGGGATGGGGAGAAGGGGGTTGCAAGGGGTGAATTGTGACCAGGGACTAACTCCTGCCCGCAGAGGAGAGTCCTGGGGCACAGGGATGGTGGGGTGGGGTGGGTGATGCCACCGGTTGGCACGGTGTCACCAGCCCGCTGGAACGCTCACCGCTATCTCCCAGCAGCTACGGGAGGGGAGACACCTTCACCGGGGGGGTAAGGCTGGTGGTTATAGGGAACCACGGTGGCCCGAGTCCATCCAGTGGCAGGAGACAGCAGGAACTCCAGTTATTGCACTTGGGGGGGGGTGTGGGGGGGACACAGCAGTATGGCTTTGAGCTCTGGACCCGTGGGACGGCCATCCCGGCACCCGGAGAGGGGTTGGAAAAGCTTTTCCTTGTGCACAGTTGCTTTCCCCCCCAGTTTCTCTGGTGCTGGGAGGGAGGGAGGCGCAGCCCCGGCGAGCGGAGGCACTGGTGGTGGTCATGGCTGTGGTCCCGGGGGGCTGCCCAGGGGGTCTTGGCTCCCCACAGGATGCTCCACGAGGGGCAGAGGGCTGCAGGCCACCAGGGCTCCTGCTACTGGGTCGAGCCGGAGGGAGGGAGAGGAGAGAGGAGGAAGAGAAAGAGAGAATTAGTGCCAGAAATACACAAGTGAGGGACAGCAGGGAGCACCCAGGCTTGGTGGCAGAAAGGGGAGAGAGTCTGGGATGAAGGAGGGAGCTGGCAGCCTTCATCCATGGGGTGCTGCAGGGAGGGAGAAGGCAGGGAGGGTGCAGGGAGGGAGAGGGGCAGCTCCCCAACCCCACAAGTGAAGCAGGACTTCATCACAACGTGCTGTGGAAGGAACTCACCATGGCCATGAGCACGTTGGAGGAAGAAGCTGGTGTGAAAATAGAGCAGGGAGGAGGAGAGGGATTATCTGAACCATAGAGTGGGTCAGAGCTGGGATTAGAAATCCATTCCAGGCTCCCACTCCTCAATGTTTGAGCCACAGTTCGCTCCAAACGCTGTCTCTACATGAGTTGGGGGCTTCCTCCAAGCCTTCCCATCGTGACACCTCCGAGCATGAACTACCCAGCAAGCCCTGGGCTTCACAAACCCTCTGCCTGGAGCCACACTGTCTTCCACACACCACCACACGGACTGGGCATCTCTGTTTTGTACCAAACCCCAGCACAAAGCTGGAGGAAACCATCCCTCTCTTCTCACCAAGGCTGTGGGCAACCCCTCTGCCACAAAGCCCTGCACCAAAACCCGGGGCTGACAGCACCTCGTGCCGGTGGGATGGATGGGACACAGGGCACACAGATGTCCACACAACTGGAGGGTGATGGGCTCTGAGGACAAAGCTGGTCATGCACTGGAGATGAGATGGGTGGTTCGAGCAGATGGTGGGGAAGAAGGAAGCACTTTCTTACCAGCTAACCCTCAGAAAGCAGGGCTAACGTCCGAGGAAGGGGCAAATCCCGTCAGGCTGTGCAGGAAATGGCAAAGTCCTGGCAGGCATCCTCCTGGAGAAGACACCAGAGATTACGCACCTCAATACCTGGGTTAGACACGGGGAGCACGGATCCTGGCACAGCCCTGGGCAGAGCAAGGTGGGAGGGGAGAGGATGCTGAGGTGACGGCTTCTGGAGGAAGGGGACAGGCAAGTGGGTGAGATCCTGCCCAACCTGGGGATAGGGCACAGAAAAATCCCTTCCTCCAGCACCGATTGCTCTGAGCATCCCTCGCAGCCCCATCCTGCAGGAGGTTTTAAGAGCTTCCTTCCAGGTAAGTCCTGAGCCCAATAAAAAGTCCAACTGCCACATTAAACAGAGAGACACCTGCCCTCTTCTGTCTCAGAGGAGTAAAATAATAATCCAAGCGATTAAACTCTTTAAAAATAGAATTTTATTATGTTGAGTAACAAAGGAAACTGGTTTAAATAAAAACAGGAAGGAGTTTGGCCCCTGATAACAACCCCCCCCACTGCTCCTCACTCCCCAGCACCAGTCCCTCTGGGCACAGCTCGGCCCCACAGCTCCTGGAAGGAAGGGACAAGCCCCTCGGGGGACATCCCTGGAGGAGAAGAGGGGAGGGAAGGGCAGGGTGGCTTCTCCAGATGCAACACAGGCCACAGCCACGTGCTAAAGGGCCTGGCCCATGAGATGGCACAAAGCAAGGGCCATCTGCTGGGATCCAGGAGGGATCCAGAAGGAATTCAGCAGCCTCTGCTGCCCTGCTCCCACCTCAGCTCTTCGTGGAGGGGAAGGTAGAGCTGGTGGCCACAGCAAACAAACATTAGCCCTCTGCAGCCACCCAGCCACATGAGGCCAGGGGAACATTGTGCCCCTGCCATCCCCCAGCACCCCCCGAAGCTGCGTGTGGGCCGGCACCATCAGTGTGCAAAGCACAACGCTGGTGAGTTCACGGGGGATGGGGTGCCCCCCCAGAAATGTGCTGCCTCTGCCTGAGGTTAAAACACACGCATCTGACCCGGGGAAACCTCACCAGGGAGCTTGACACGAAATACTGCAAGCCTCTGCCCTGGTGCTAACATGCACAACGCTACCTGCACCGAATATAAAACATTCTACATAGTAAAAAAAAAATAATCTACAAATTGTGCAAAAATATCCAGCAGCTTTTAATCACATGATTCAAGTATTGCTAACAAGGTCTGTGACTCTCCTCTGCGCACACCCCAGTGTCAGTCTGGCTCTCCCGTGCCTCTGTGGGCACAGAGTGATGCTCGAGGATGCATCCAGGCACATGGAAATCGCTCTGGAGGTGCTTGGGGACAGCCCTGCTCTCATCTGCTGGCCAGAAACCCAACCCAAGAGCAGGAGGTGAGGTTACCAGAGACCAGCACCCACCAACTGCTTCCTCTGGGAAACTCCACCTGGGGATTTCACCCACTTTCCTGTTGCCTTTTGGTCTCCTGGGGATGGGACGTAACCAGGCTTTTCTGGCACAGCAAAGGTTCCCAAATCTTACAGCTGTAGCCTGGCCAACCAGCATCTCATGATGAGAGTCACAGGGGCACTGCGTGTTTCTTCTTCCCCATTAAAAGGAGGGTCATCCTAATTTGTATCCTTGCTGCAAAACCTTCTCTTACTGACGACTGGCAGGGCCAAAACACAACGAGGTTTTCAGCACCCTCCCAGTAACCAGCCAGAAAATAGGACCAACAGCAGCTGGGACAAGCTGCCACGTTTGCTGGGAGCCAGAGCCCTCCCAACTGAACAGCCCCAACTTACCAAGGCACAGCAGCTTCTGGAAAAGAAAAGCTGCTCCAGCAGCGGCCGAGGTGAGAACCCGGCCATTTAGGGACAGAACAGCCCTTCCACGTCGGCACAGGGGAGAGGGACATGATCACGGAGGTGACAGGGGCAGCCAGAGGGAACATACACCTCCACCAGCCCAGAAGACGAGGCGTGACAGCCCAGCTCAGAGTGGAAACCAGTCCCCACCTCCCACCTCAGTATTCCCGGCAGGAAACACAGCGAAATCCCTGGAGCAGACACTCCAGGCTCGGAGCTCTGGTGGCTCCCCAGATCCACTCGCTTCCCAGACGCAGCAGGGAAGTGAATTTCCCCACTTTTTCTGCACGAGTCTGAGGGTCTCGCGCGCTGTTGGGCTCTACCAGTCCAAAGTCCCGACAGGCCACATCACAGTGAAACAAATAAACAAATTAAAATAAATTAATTAAAAAAAAAAAAAGAAAAAAGAAAGGCAACGAATGGCTCGACTGAGTCTTTGGCAGCTCTGCGTCGCAGGGCTGTCCCGCCTGAGGCTGGGGAGATGGCACGAGGGGAAGGTACCGGCTGGAACGAGGTGCAGGCACTGGGCTACGTCACAGCACTGCTAGGGGATGCCTCCTACCATGCTGGTGTCAGCTTTGGCTCCAAAGGAAGGGATTTCACTCTTAGGACTGGCGGGGGTCCCGACATCTGGCTGGATAAATCCTCTTCTGTCTATCAAGCTGGAAAAGAGAAGGGAAAATGCACGAGGGGAGAGAAATTAAGGAAGAGTCAGGGAAGACAGGAGCTGGGAAGCCACAGAGAGGGCTGTCCTCGTGGGAACCACCAAGCAAAGCACGGGCAGGAGCTGCCCATTAGAGAAACCACAAAGTTATCACACAAGCCACCAAACAGCCTTTGGGCTGTTAAAGCTTTGGGTCACCGCAAACCCAAAGAGGGAACTGGCACGAGGTCTTTACAACGGGGAAACACGGCGAGCGAGGGAAGGAGGGCTGCAAAAACACTGCTCTCCCCACACAAACCTCCCAGCAAACGGCTGGGCTCCATCCCAAGTGGCAGATTGATCACCTCCAAGAGGCAGCACTGGCATTTGGGCACCCCAAGAAAAAGCTTGGGGGTACTTCAGAGAGCAGGGCCAGATTTATAAGCGTAAAACACACTTTGACACCCTCCCCTGCTGCTGTCTTACACGGAGTTAGTTACTCTGAGATACAAATCCAAATAGGATCCAGGGAAAAAAACCCCTTTGTCTCCAGGGTCCCCTCTCCAGGGTCTCCACGTGCTCTGGGAAAGGCTGAGAGCTCCCCACCAGGGTGCAGGACCTGAACCCCTGCAGCACAGCGCAAGGGGACCTGTCCCTGCCCAATGGCACCCTCTTGTGACAAGAGCAGCCATGATCCTGCTCCGGGTCCCAAAATTTCCTTTCACCTGCAGGAAACTTCATCAGCCTTTGTCCTTTCTCTAACACAGGTGCTGGTTAAGGGTAAGGGCACTTGGTGGGATGCTACTAAGCATTTGAGGTCATCTCAGCGGTGGTAAAGAGCAGGATGTCCACACTGCCTTGTGCAGTTCTCTGCTGGCCACTTACAGAATAATGGAATGGTTAGAGTTGGAAGGGACCTTAAAACCCATCCAGTTCCAACCCCCTGCCCTGGGCAGGGACACCTCCCACCAGACCAGGTTGCTCCAAGCCCCCTCCAACCTGGCCTTGAACCCCTCCAGGGATGGGGAAGCCACAGCTTCTCTGGGCAACCTGTTCCAGTGTCTCACCACCCTCACAGCAAAGAAGTTCTTTCTGGTATCTCATCTAAATCTTCCCTCTTTCAATTTAAAACCATTCCCCCTTGTCCTGTCACTGCACTCCCTGACAAAGAGTCCCTCCCCAGCTCTCCTGGAGCTCCCTTCAGATATTGGAAGGGGCTCTAAGGTCTCCCTGGAGCCTTCTCTTCTCCAGGCTGAACAACCCCAGCTCTCCCAGCCTGTCCTCACAGCAGAGGTGCTCCATCCCTCTGATCATCTCCATGGCCCTCCACTGGGCCCCTTCCAACAGGTCCACGTCCTTCCTGTGCTGAGGACTCCAGAGCTGGACACAGGCTCCAGGTGGGGTCTCAACAGAGCAGAGGGGCAGAATCACCTCCTTGTGACCTGCTGGCCATGCTTCTTTTGATGCAGCCCAGGATGCAGACACGTGCTAAGAAATACTGCCACGGTGTTTGCCAGCTGCTGCCAAGCTCTCTGGTGCCCCTACTCTCCCCTTACTGAATCTCAGGACACGTTTTATCTGCAAACTCCATCACCAGTGACCCAAACTCATCGCTCAAACACTTATATCTCTTAGGCATTTCTCCAGCTGCTCTCTGTGAAGACTGGGAAACTCCTTCCCCACCATGGTGGGAGCAGAGGTGTTTGTGCTGACACAGTTCCCCCGAACCCTGATAAATCTGTCCTTTCCAAGGCCCCTCTCACGGAGGGGGGTGCAATTCCCAAGGCCGTGGAGGTCCAAGGCTCTTACCTGGGATGGAATGGTCCACACAGCACCGCACAGCAGTTTGTGAGGATACTTTTATGGCTGTAGGGATTGGCAAACTCTGAGCCCCTCTTGTTTGACCAGGACCCTTTGATCTGAAAGGGAAAGGACAGACCCAGGTTACGATACGAAAGATACGATAGCAGATAAATAGAATCATATAATCATAGAATGGTTTGGGTTGGAAGGGACCTCAAAGATCATCCAGTTCCAACCCCCCTGCCCTGGGCAGGGACACCTCCCACCAGACCAGGTTGCTCAAGGCCCCATCCAGCCTGCCCTTGAACCCCTCCAGGGATGGGGCATCCACAACTTCCCTGGACCACCTGTTCCTGTGTCTCACCACCCTCATAGTAAAAAATTTCTTCCTGATATCTAATCTGAATCTTTTTTCTTCCAATTTAAAACCGTTTCCCCTTGTCCTATCACTACACCTCCTGGCAAAGAGTCCCTCCCCAGCTCTTCTATAGGCACCCTTCAGGTATTGAAAGGCCACTATAAGGTCTCCCCAGAGCCTTCTCTTCTCCAGGCTGAACAATCCCAGCTCCCCCAGCCTGTCTTCATAGGAGAGGTGCTCCATTAATTACAAAATTACACGAGAATGGACTCTGTTCCAAGCCTTGCCCAGGAGGTGGAAGGCTTGTCTTACTGCAAACGTCCTCCCTCTCTTTGCCTTAAAAGCAGGACAAGCTGCAGAAAGGCAGCCAGAGGAGACTGCAATATGCTGCTCCTGCCTCTGCCAACGTTCAACCTTGCAGCTAGAAACCTCCAGAGCTGTGTCCTCCCCCTGCACAGCAGCTTCTCAGTGTCCCCATCCTCAACACCAGGCTCCTCCTCCTCCACCTCCTCCTCCTCCTCCAGGAGGCTGAAAGCTCCTCGGAGCAGAGCTCAGGGTCCCTCCTGAGTGCAAACAACGGGGATTACCAGGAGGGAGGAACAACCTCATCTCCCCCCACCCTGAGCAGCTGCCACCAGGACTCTGATTTCGAAACCCCGGTCACGTCAAGCGTGGGCACAGGAGAGGGGGCAGATGCTATACCTGGCCTCAGCCCCCGGCTGCAGCCAACCATTTACCATTACATTTCCTCCTTTTGTTGTTTTCTGGTTTTTTTAACTTCCTCTCCCCCGTGGCAGGGGAAGGCTGGCAACGCGGGCAACGGGGCCACGTGCTTCAGACCTGGTGCTCTCAGAAAACTGGGGTGCAACCCCCTCCCCTCCCCAATTCGCTTCACTTACACAGCCTTGAGCATCTCTGCCAACACCTCTGAACGTAACAGAAAGGTGGAGAGGAAAAGGGAGGGGAAAAAAGGTTAAAAAAAAAAAAGGGATGCAAACCTGTCTTCTGCAGTGCTGGCAGCCTCCAGCAAGGATTACAGGTCCTTCTGGCCAGGAGGGTGAATTTTCATCCCCAGGATCAGACAGATCCTGCTTTTCCCTACAATCAGCCCCCCTCGGGGTACTCATTTGGCCCTCGGAGCCTGCCCGCACCCCAAACTTGGATGTTCATCTCGTCAGGAGGTGTCTGTACATTATTAGACATGAGGAACCGATAGAGACAAAGGGACTTGCCCAGGGTCTCAGAGGAAACCCGTGGTTATGCAGGACGCTGAATTAAGATCACCCAGGCCAACACCCAAACAAATCTCTGGGGACAGCCTTCCTTTTTCAGTCTGGAAACTCCTAATTTGAAGTCAGACCCTGTGCAGACTGGAAAAAACACCCATGTGACCTCTCTAACATCTCAGCCCCACACGGCCAAGCAACACGTCTTGCACGGTCCCCCCCACTGCTGAGGGTGCTGCTTCTCCCCCACTCAGCCACCTGAAAATACAGCCCAAAAATGCCTTGGGAAAGGCTGTTTGCTTTGCAGTGGGTTATTACTGTTAAGGAAGCATCCCATATGGAGATTCTGCACTGAGGCAGGCAGCCAAGGACGCCCCAAAAGCCTCCCCTCTGCTTAGGAAGGGCCAGCCCTGCAGAAGGACGAGTGTCCAGGTACTTACATCTTCGTTCGTCGTCAGGTTGGAGGCGACCAAATAAGTGTGAAAACCTGAGAGGCCCAAAATAGACCAGACGGAGAAAAAACAAATCACCAGCTCCAGCACAGTGGGGGGAAAAAAACAAAACAAAAAAACCCAAAACAAAACAGTCAAGGAAGTCTCAAGGAACAAAATCATCCTGCAAGGAGAGGCAGAGGACTGATCTGGGAGGTACACAAAAACATCCCCACTCCCCCCACCATTCCACAGGCTTCCACCAAGGCACAGCCTGTTCCCATTTCCACATAAACTTGCAAACTGGGAAACAAGTTTGTCACCCGCTCTCGGTCCCCGGTGGTGAACTAAATAAGGAATTAAAGGTCTTCCCGGGTTGTTATCAGCCTACAGATGCCCGTCTGCCCCCACCAGGTAGCTCAGGGACTAAATTAAGTTGTGGAAAGCACATGAAGGTGACCCTACAAGGAGCTCGTTGTGCTTCTGTTACACAATTAGTGTTGCTGCACCAGCCTGAGCAGCTGATGGCATCGGAAGGATATCTGGCCGGTGTCGTCTTCAGAGTGGTGAGGAATCCATCTGTCTGAGAGCCTGCAAAGCAAAAGAGGAGAAGGAACGTCCTTCCATCAGGCAGCCTTGCATCTCCAGCCAACTCCTCACCCCCCAGCACGCAGCCACCCCCCTGTGGGCCACATGGACCTGCCTGAGGAACATCTGCAGTCTGTAACTTTGCAGACACATCAAGGCACAGACACAGCTCCAGGAGATTTGGGCAAAGTCACCTTCTCCACCAAGTTAAGGGCAGATGCACCCACCAGCTCCTTTGCTCTGGAGGGGACATCACCAGCTCCCCAGGGCTCTATGCTGCGAGGTGCAGGGTGGGGGGGACCTGTGGGTCCCTGTGGTCCGAGACCCCCTTGATTCAGGCCACCAGCACCCAAAAAATCCTGGTGTAACCCATCCAGCCCCTTCCCAGGCTGTGTCCAACAGGAATGGTGACCCCAGCACTGCCTCAACGGCTGGTGGCCAGGAGTTCATGGCCCACAGGGGTGCTGGCCCCCCCTGGTACTTACGCAGGGTGAGGTGGGTGACGACGCAAGCGAAGATGAAGGCTGTCAGGAAGGAGAGGGAGAGGATGAAGGCGTAGAAGTAGCGGTAGTTGCGCTTCCCCACGCAGTTGCCCACCCAGGGGCAGTGGTGATCAAACCTCTCTGGAAAAAAAAGGGGAAAAAAAGGGACACGGTGAGGACTCCTGCCACCTCGCACCCTGGAATACAGCAAATTCTGCTCATTCTCCAAAAACCAGGGGCTACAAACCGAGCTTCCCCCCACCCCCCCCAGACCAGCACCCCTCTGCTGCAGTTCGTTAGCGAGAAGTTTCAGTGCTGCCTGCTCACATGCCCTTTTTTTTAAATCATCAAAGGCCAAACCCCGGCTCTCAGCAAACCCTGCAGAAACACAAGCCTTGTGACTGGTAATACCTACCATTACTAAAACCGAAAGAGAAGAGGGAAAGTGCAGCAGTTTTTCCAGTACTTCACAGCGCTGGGGGGGGGGTGTGCAGCATCGCTGCTCCCTTTCTGCCTGGCAGCTTCACCTCCCCCCCCACCCCCTCCAAGCCTTCTTCGGGGCAGAAAATAGCTTTCAAAGTTATAAAGATACGTCTCTAAAAACCACAGAAAGCACCTGAGAAGCCAGGGCAGGTGCAGTATAACTGGAAACACTCCCCTTTCTAATGAAAGGGCTGTGTCTCAGACTAACAGGACGGTGGTGACAATTCTGCAGGGGACACCAGCACAAACAAAACCCCCCCTCGTGCACAAAGCAGGCACCTGCCTGCACCCCCAGACTCTGCTCCAGCCACTGCTGCTTTCCAGCGAGCTGTGCCAGGGTAAGGAGGAGTCATGGCCACCCACCACCGTCCCCAAACACCTAAAGCTTGGCAACTCCCAAATTTCTTCTCTTGAGCAGAGCCTTGGGGTCCGCAATGGGTCGGTCGCCCCCCAGGCTCCCCCAGCACACAGTGTAAAGCACAACCTCTGCATCCACGAGGTACAGGACCAGCAGCAGCCACGTGAGGATTAAAATATCCGTTAAAATGTCCCCAAATCACACACCACCCTGCTGCCAGCTCAAGTTGCTGCACTGCAGCCTGGGAACCCACCTCCCTGCAGCTGCCCCACGCCTCTGCCTGCCCCTGTGGAGCCACCAGAGACTGAATTTCATTGAATTTCACTGCATTTTTAGAGTTGGAAGGGACCATAGACTTGTCTTCAGGTCTTTATTCATCCCCTCCTGCCCCACCGCAGTCTGAAGGCACAGGGAGAGGATACAGAAGAGCTCAACCAGCACCTACGGTGGTGTCTCAACCAGCCTGGCACCAGCACAACCACAGACAACAAGGAGCCTGCAGCAAATCCTGTGTTTGGTGGGGACCTTTACTGCATTTCATGGTACAGACCTCCCAGAACTGGGGAGAGCAGAGACACGGAGTCTCAGATTAGTTGTCCCCTCGCCCTGCACCGGTGCTGCTTTCATTTTAAGCGGGAAGAAGAGAGACCACTCAAGTATCTCATTTTATAATCCTTCACGAGAAGCAAAAGCGACGCGTCCAGGAGCATAAAAACATGCAGGAGAGAGAGAGCAGCCCCTTCCCACTCTCTGGACTTACCCACGCAGTTGTCGCAGACGCTGCAGTGAGAGGTGCGGGGAGGACGGAACATCTTGCAGGTGTAGCAGTACTTGAGCTTCACCACGTACTTGTTTATCACCACCTCCATGGTGCGGGCTGGTGGGCGGTAGGTGGAGGTGCCCATGCTGTCTGCGAGGACAAGGAGGGACAGTCAAACCCCTGCAGGGGTCAAACCCCAGCCCCTCTGCCCTCCCCGTATCACCCCAAGCCCCTTCCTGGCAGGGGAAGGGATGGCCACGTGCTCTGCTGGTTTTGATTAAAAGCCCAGAGGTGGCTCAGCCAACAGGATTTGTTGCAGGGTGGGCAGCCAGGAACTCCTCACAGCATTATTTATGTCCTTTCCTTGTCTGCTCACTGCAGGGATGCCAGGAGGAAGTTAATATCTGCCCAACAGTGTGAGTAGGTAAAGCAATTTATAAATAGCAGGCAGAAAAGCAGCAGTGGTAACGTGCCCGGTGACACCAACTCATCCCCGTTGTCTCACGGATCACAACACGAGGAGACAGCATCATCTGCTGTCCCACGGGTGGTCCCTCCTCTGCTCTGAGCAGCCAAGTTACAGAAATCAGGGTAAAACTCCCCAGAAGCCACCCCCAGCACACGACTTGCCAACCCACAGCTGGAGCCAGCGGCACCGCCGGGCTCCAGGGACTCATTTCCACCCCAGCAGTGGAGGACGGAGAGCAGGTCTCAAGAGCTCCAGGCAGATTTCATCAAAATTGGACGTGTATCTGTTTAGTAGCACGAGAGGATTCCTCCTCTTCAAGGTCGAGATTGAGGATTTTGAGAGACACCACGAGTTACATCTGCCTGTGCTGGCACCTCATGATTCACCGGGGACCGGCACCTGGAGACTCTTTCTCTGCTCAGCAAAAGCTGGAAAAACCTCTGTATCACGTTTGTAGTTTTGGGGGGTTATTCCCTTTTTTCCAGTCACTCTTATAAGAGCCCCTTTCCAACTCAAGTCTTTGAAAACAAAGATGTAGCAGTAAGCAGGGTAAGAGGATAATAAGTGGATTATATTAAGGGTAACAGCTGGCACATCAGGCAGCATCTGCAGCCAGATTACAGCTTTAGGCACTTATATATAGAAACATGGATTTAAAACCATATTTTTTTTAGTCCAATGTAGAATTACTGCCTTGCAACCGCCTTCGGTGGGGCAGGTTCAAGCTGTCTCCCATCAGCTTTGCTAAAGCATTTGTTCCTACGGGTCACATCACCAAGGTCCACGGACCCTGGACGGGCACACACCTCCTTGGCTGCCACCAAAACAGCGTGACGTGGCAGTCTGCAGATGGGGACAGGCATTAGCATACTGTTGGAAAGCATCAGGGTAAAGAAAACGCTGCAGCACAGCGGGCTGGATGGCAAATCATAATCTCAAAAAAGCATTCATGCCTAAATTAATTAATTACCCTTGGTCCTCACCGCCCGTATTTTGCAGAAGGTGGCAGAGGGTCAGATTTTGGACAACGTTCAGGGTAACCTACAGAGCCCACACACTCTCCATTTGTCTTCAGGAGCCCACCAGCCTGACTCCGGAGGGGATTTTGTGCTCCTCAGGCACTGGCACACAGTCCCTAATGCATTTAGGACACGGATGCCACCAGCTGTCCCTCCCCTGGGCTCTGCACAGGGACACTGCCTGCTCAAGTCTTGTCCCAAGGGCAGGAGCAGGTACAGCCACGACCCACCCTACTGGGTTTTCTCTCTGAAAGTGATGGGACTGGACAAAAACACATCCTACCTCTGCTTCTCTGCAGACCCTCTCTCTGAAACGCTGCCTGCTGTGCTAGAGGAGCTCATCACACCTCTCTTACCGGGGTCCCCAAGACACTGTCAAGCTCCACGACCTGATATTCTGGGGTTTTTTTCCCCAGAGACTCACTGAGCTTGAAATGTGTGACACACACACACACACACACAGAGAAGCAAGCACTGGACCAAACACAGGAGAGGGAACAGGAGTCTCACCGATCCGCTTTTCCAGGTCCGCGGCCTCGCTTGGGGTGGCTCTGGGCAGGATGCCCGGGTCTCGGAAGCTCGTCTGGAGCAGGCAGCTGATGACAAAGAAGAAGAGGACGGCTGCAATGATGGGGATGGCCAAGGTGAGGTGACTGGCAAGGAAGGGGCAGCTGTTAAAACGCTTGGGGTGGCTCTGGGCAGGATGCCCGGGTCTCGGAAGCTCGTCTGGAGCAGGCAGCTGATGACAAAGAAGAAGAGGACGGCTGCAATGATGGGGATGGCCAAGGTGAGGTGACTGGCAAGGAAAGGGCAGCTGTTAAAAGAAAAGGAAAAAAACACACCGTTACCAACTGTCGCCGCAGAACCGGCTGTCGACGGTGACGTCCCACACCATGGACTCTCACGCCCGGGTCTCGGAAGCTCGTCTGGAGCAGGCAGCTGATGACGAAGAAGAAGAGGACGGCTGCAATGATGGGGATGGCCAAGGTGAGGTGACTGGCAAGGAAGGGGCAGCTGTTAAAAGAAAAGGAAAAAAACACACCGTTACCAACCATCGCCGCAGAACCAACTGTCGGCGGTGACGTCCCACACCATGGACTCTCATGAGGTGGCACCTCCGCTTTGAAAAGACCCCTGGAACAGCAAGAGCCAGCCCAGAAAAAAACAGAAAGCACTGGGAAGACCGTGTCTCTGGCACAAAAGTGGCAGTACAAGCCCCTCTACACAAGCTCCTCGCCTTTCTGAAGTCCCAGGACCCCGTTTCAAAAACCTTTCAGCCGGGTCACCTTCCAGTGGTTCCCAGTGAGAGGACGAGGGGCAACGGGCACAAGTTGGAACAGAAGAGGTTCCACTCAAATATGAGGAGAAACTTCTTCACGGTGAGGGTGGCAGAGCCCTGGAACAGGCTGCCCAGGGAGGGTGTGGAGTCCCCTTCTTTGGAGATTTTCAAGACCCACCTGGATGCAGCCCTGAGTAACATGCTCTGACAAGCTCTAGGCAATCCTGCTTCAGCAGAGGAGTTACAGAATTACAGAATCACAGAATTACAGAATTATCTAGGCTGGAAGAGACCCTCAGGATCATCGAGTCCAGCCATCCACCCTACTATAAAGTACTCTCCTACACCATATCCCCCAACACCACATCTAAACAGTTCTTAAACACAGTCAGGGATGGTGACTCAACCACCTCCCCGGGCAGCCTATTCCAATGCCCTATCACTCTCTCTGTGAAGAAGTTGGACTAGATGATCTCTATGGTCCCTTCCAACTCTAAAAACTCAGTGAAATTCAGTGAAATTCTGCAACGGCGGCACTGAGAACCCGTGGAGGAACATCCCGAGCTGAGCAGGAACCAGCACCGGCGCAAACACCACCCCATTCGGTCTGCACAGGTGAAGTGGAGAAGGGATTTGCCTGGGATTTAACCCAGCTTTGATGTCTCCAGGTGACTCCCATGCCCCTCATGGTGGGTCAGAGGTTTGGATGGTGATGCCTTCCAGCCCTGATGGGTCACCAGGCACCTTGGCCAACAGCACCCGCTCCAGGGCTCATCGTACCGTGACCTGGGGCTGCTTTATCACCCATGGGGACAACGGCATCATCAGGGCAGCTCCGTTACTTCCCGAGGAGGGAAGGTGGCCGAGGAACAAGGCTCTTGGCCAGAGACCCCTCCCGTCCCTCGCTCCGTGGGGGACCCACCTGGATGCAGCCCTGAGTAACATGCTCTGACAAGCTCTAGGCAATCCTGCTTCAGCAGGGGAGTTGGACTAGATGATCTCTATGGTCCCTTCCAACTCTAAAAACTCAGTGAAATTCAGTGAAATTCTGCAACGGCGGCACTGAGAACCCGTGGAGGAACATCCCGAGCTGAGCAGGAACCAGCACCGGCGCAAACACCACCCCATTCGGTCTGCACAGGTGAAGTGGAGAAGGAATTTGGCTGGGATTCAACCCAGCTTTGATGTCTCCAGGTGACTCCTGTGCCCTTCGTGGTGGGTCAGAGGTTTGGATGGCGATGCCTTCCAGCCAGGCACCTTGGCTGACGGCACCCGCTCCAGAGCTCACCATATCATGACCCGGGGCTGCTTTATCACCCGTGGGGACAACGGCATCATCAGGGCAGCTCCGTTACTTCCCGAGGAGGGAAGGTGGCCGAGGAACACGGCTCTTGGCCAGAGACCCCTCCCGTCCCTCGCTCCGTGGGGGATTTGCTATTATAAGCAATAAGTCCCCGGAGAGGGAAGCTGCTCCAGCCCCGGTGCCCACGGGCAGTGCTAAGTCTGGGTAAGGCTGTGAGGCAGTTGGAGAGGATTAAGCAACTTCTGTTTCACCTCCCAAGCTCAGCCATCCAGGACAAAGCAGCCACCGAGCAACAAAACCCCCTTCAGCCCGGGACTAAAGCTGCTGCCCAGCCCCTCTGTGGGACAGAAAGGTCTCTGGAGTGGGAGACTTGAGCTTGTTGCCACCCTCTTTTCCAGGAGAATCCCTGGATCCTGCTTTTCCCTCTGTCAGGCAACAAGAAATGATAATGCCACCCTCTTTTCCAGGAGAATCCCTGGACCCCGCTTTTCCTTCTGTCAGGCAACAAGAAATGACATTAAAAAATAAAAAAACACCCAAACAAAACGTGAAGTGCAGACAGAGGCAAGAAGTATTTGCTCTGTCTCTAGCAAACCCTCACCCCTGCAAGAGGAGCACACACACACACACACACACACACACACACGGCTAAAATAACAACTCGGAAAGCCCCAGGGCATCTTCAACCAAGAAAAGAACGACTGGGTGAGAAGGGAGGGGGGAGCAGATGTCCTCTGCGTGGCCGGGCACAAAGCAGTCACTGTGCTGGCGCTGCCCGTTAGCTTCAGAGGCAGCGGAGAAAGCTGTCAGAGGGGCACAGATGACACTCAGAAAGGGTGTTTTTTCGCGTGGGGATGCTGTTCCTGCC